GTCAAGGCAGAGGCATGTGAATTAAGTCATCTTAATTAGACCAGCCTACAAATTAGACCAGCTGAATACCACGAGCAACTTCACCTGGAGCAGAGAATTGTTCAATAGAGCTTTGCTCTAAATTCCTGACCCTCAAAATCATGAAACGTAATAAAATGGTTGTTTTTTCTTTTCTTTTTTTTTTTTTTTTTTTGGTAGTTCATTGAATTTTGAACAAGGATAACTGTCAGAAAAGATTCTCTTTGAATCGAGCAGATCTCTCCCCCATGGTCACCTCTGGGTCTGCCCTCGCAACCACATGGAATAAGCCTTATTTCAGTTCTTCAGGACAACTTTTCAAGAATTAAAAAATCACCTCCACATAATGCATTTTTATTAAATGAAAATAGGTAGAGATGCTATTTAAAAAAAACCAACAACTTTACCTTCTCACTACCTTCAAAATAGGAAGCAAAATTATTTTGGCAAACTTTTTTTTTTTTTGAGACGGAGTCGTCTAGGTTGGAGCTCCGTGGCACAACCTTCACTCACTGCAACCTCTGCCTCCTGGATTCAAGTGATTCTCCTGCCTCAAGCCTCTCGAGTAGCTGGGATTACAGGCACCATCACACCAGGCTAATTTTTGTATCTCTTTTGTTTTTCACTAAATGGATTCCTGAATTGGACCCATAATGACTTAGTTGTGGATGTAAAGAACTGCACTTGAGCAGCTGCCTCTATTAGACCTGGGGTTCTTGCTTCCCTGAGTCTCTTGCATGACCTCTGGGAGAACTCAGCTTTGGAGAACTGAGATGTCACAGGCAACATAATGACCCCCTCCCCAAAGCTGTCTATGTGCTAACTTACCAAGGAACGTCGATAGCCCCTGAAGCTGGAAAAGGGAAGGAAAGGGATTCTCTTCAAGAGCTTCCAGAAGGAATGCAGCCCTACTCACCCATTTGGTACTTCTGACCTCTGGATAAATAAATTTGGCCAGATGTAGTGGCTCACACCTGTAATTCCCAGCCTTTTGAGAGGCCAAGGCAGGTTGATTGCTTGAGCCTGGGAGTTCGAGACCAGCCTGCACAACATGGTGAAACACTGTCTCTACAAAAAATATGAAAATTAACCATGTGGGGTGGTGCGTTCCTGTAGTTCCAGCTACCAGGGAGGCTGAGGTGGGAGGATCATCTGAGCCCAGGAAGTTGAGGCTGCAGTGAGCCATGAGTGTGCCACTGCACTCCAGCCAGGGGAACAGAGTGAGACCCCATCTCAGTAATAATAATAATAATAATAATAATAATACATTTATGTTGTTTAAGCCTCTAAATTTGTGGTAATTTGATTCAGCAAATTACCACAGAATAGGAAAGGAATACATGGGGGGAATCAAGCTCAGTCTGTACCTGACAAAACTGTGAGGTCAGAAATGTATCATTTCAGTAACTGTCTTCTTGAACTTCTGACCTCAAGTGATACACCTGCCTCAGCCTCCCAAAGTGCTGGGATTACAGGCGTGAGCCACTGCACCCGGCCAGCAACTGTCTTCTTTAGCATACTTGTGCTTAAAAAAAAAAAAAATTTTGTGTTGAACACATTTTCACATTGATATTTTTTCCCGTGCGTGTGGACTACACTTTTAAGTTTTTAATTATGTTTAGGGTTAAGATTAGGGTTATGGTGGAATATTTTCGACGTATAGCGACTTTAAACTTTTATGTATTCAGATGTATTAATCTAACCCTTTATGGTTTCTGCTTTTGGTGTTTTGCTTTGAAGGGTCTCATTCATGCCAGAAGCATATATATATTCACATATTCACATACTTTTAGAGTACATACTTCACTGATTTAAAAATCACATCATTTGTCCAAAACAATGTTTTCTTATTCTAAAACTCTAAATTTGTTTTTGTTTCTGTTTTTTGTTGGTCTTTTTAGAGATGAGGTCTCACTCCATCACCAGGCTGCTGGATTGCAGTGGCATAATCATAGACCATAGCTCAGTGCAGCCTCACTCCTGGGCTCAAGCGTTTTGCCACCACCTTCCAAGCGACTGGAACTGTAGGCATATGCCACCACGCCACGCTTAAATTTGTTTACTAGTAATATGAGAACTGTTTAAAAAAAAAAAAAAAAA